GTGTCCCAGGCAGCTTTAGCTGCGGGAGGATTCCGTGGCTGAGGTCCCTGATGTCGTGCATGCATCTGCTCCCACGTTAAGTCATCAGTCAGCAGCTAGAAGTCCTTATTTCGAGCAGGTTGTATTCATTGCAGCGCAACCAACTGCACAGGAAGAAGCAGAGTCTCTGAAGGAGGGATTACTGATTATTCTGTACGCCATACGACGTGTCGGGTCGCTCGGGTTTGATACTAATCTAGCGTCCTTCAATCGGGCACTTTAGGTACACTAGGCAGCGGCCAACTTGCCTTTCCTATTCGACCGAGAAGAGTACCAAGAAAATGCCTCGATTTACAAAGGTCGGCCGGTGAAATCTCTTAGTCAAATGTTTCTCCTCTCGTGCTCTTAGACGACCGCTGCTTGCGAATGAGAGGGTCAGATTGGATTAGAGATCCACTGCGTGGCTCCGGGTGCGAGCCAATCGAGCTAACCCAGACAGTATTAGTAGCGAAAGACCGTCGAAGCTGGTCCGCTGGAGAAAGTTCGGATACAGTCCCAACGAGAAGACCGGAGGGCTCCGATCCGATTCATTCTTTGCCTCAGTGTATAGTGATGTAGAATTATACTCAATAAACCCCAGGTTTTTCTTGACCTTAGCTACTTGGCAAATTGGGGGTTGATGTCACTATAAAGAAAGTTCAGGATGTGATTGCCAGAAGGGGTTTTCGTCTCCAGAGGAGTTGGTGATGGTTATTGAAGACCTTTCCTTAGCTCGGCCCGGTCCTGGCAGACTGCTAAGGGCCCAAGGGGTAATAACTCCGACTGGCCTAACTGGTGCGCGGTTTCTGCACACGCTCATCTCTGCAGGCGGTATGACGAGTGCGATAATACAAGCAGAATGAAAAGAAGGATACGAAGCTCCGTAAGCGGAGCTGCCTTTCCACCGGCACACAGGCACAGAAACGTGCGATTCGTAGAAGTGTCCTGTGTCCAGAGGAAGTCAGTCTGGTAAAAATCTGCCGTCGGAACCCAAGCCCACCAACGGCACCAAGTGGGGGGCCCGCCACTCCCTGCAGCAGCAAGTAGCCAACGAAAACCCTCGATGGTCTGCGGCACCGAACCTCAAGCGCAGTTCCACCAACGGCAGCACCAGCACCACAGGAGCCTTTTGGTAAGAAAAGGGCCACTAATTGACTAGAGGTCTCAATGTGTTGGTTGTTGAGCGCTCTACCTTAATTTCCCGGCCGGACAGACCCTCTAATGACGATATGAGGCGGTCGAAACACGAATCGGAACCACGAGATTTGGCTGCGTCTGCATAACTATGTCCGTTATGGTTAGTATCACTGCTGGAGTGGCAGAAGATGGGGGAGCGTCATCGAACAGAAGCAAACAGGATATGGGGAACCCTTCCGTCGTAAGACTGGTGGGTACGCCGAAGGAGGCTTGATTCGAAGATGAAGGAGGGGGAAAAGAGCGAAAAAGAGAAAAAGAAAAAGATCTTCTTAGATCTTAAATACTCTCACGCATCCCAATTTGGCCCGACCCTCATAACAACTTCGAACACTCTCTTCCTCCATCTCTCCTCCCACCCTTATTGTTCCTCTCCTCTTGCAACTGTCCTTCTCTGCGAGCTTCGCGGCGAAGGTCTAGTGCTTCATCATCCTCCGCATTGGCTGTCCTGTTCCACACCAATCCGCTTTTGTTGATAGCTCAAAGCACACCCAGCGAAACACAGATTGACTTCTGTAAATCCGATTGCTTCGGGCGTTTTGTATCCTTGTATCGCCGTATCGTCGGGTACAGCCTCTCAGCCCTCCTGCGACAAGTTGATCTGCCCTCCTTGCGACTTTAACAACGGTTTTCGACACCCATTTGCGACATCCGAATCCCACGAAACGTGTGCCAACAGCAGCCAAACTGTCCAACAGCAACATATTGCCGAGCGTCTCCGAGAAATAAGCCCTTATGCAACAGGCCCTGATCTAAGCGATTTAGACCCGAGGACCTCCTACGCGATTACCCTGCAGCCACGGCAGTCTAGCCTAGCGACCTTCGATTGCCCTTTGCGCCAAATCCTCTTTCACAAAGTTTGTCATTGAACGCTGACTCTTACCATAATTGTCTGGAACAATGAGTGGTCTCGATATAGAAAAGAAGTTGAGCGTTAACCAGGCCTCGACCGGCGAGAATGCGTCTGGATCTGACGATGCAGATGCGCTCAAGCTGGCTGAGATGGGTTACACGCAGGACCTGCAGCGCAATTTCTCCCTGCTCTCACTGGTCGGCATTGCGTTCTGTATGTCAAACTCTTGGTTCGGTATCTCGGCTTCCTTGATCACCGGTATCAGCTCGGGAGGTACTGTTCTCATCGTTTACGGCTTGCTCTGGATCACCTTCATCTCGACTTGTGTCGCTGCCTCCCTCTCGGAATTGGCTAGCTCCATGCCCAATGCCGGTGGGCAATATTTCTGGGCGAACGAGCTTGCTCCGAGGAAATATGCCCGGTTCTTCTCTTATCTTACCGGCTGGTTTGGATATGCTGGTGCCATTTTCGCGAGTGCCAGTGTTGCGCTCAGTCTTGGATCCGGTGTTGTGGGAATGTGGCAACTTGGCCATCCGTCATTGTATGCCTCCAAATCCCATGTTTGCTCTCTGAGAGGAAGTGTCTTGCCCCCTAGGTCCGTAGTGCTGACTCCAACCACAGTGAACCCAAAGCCTGGCATACAGTAGTGGCATACGAGCTCATCAACTTCTTCTGCTACCTCTTCAACTGCTGGGGCAAAACCCTGCCTGCTGTGGCAAAAGCAACGCTGTACATCTCGTTGCTTTCTTTCCTGGTCATCCTTATCGTTGTTCCGGCTTGCGCCAACCCGCATGCCAGCGGATCCTATGTTTTTGGGCATTTCGTCAACTCCACTGGTTGGAAATCAGATGGAATCGCTTTCATTGTCGGGTTGATTAACCCGAACTGGATCTTTGCCTGCTTGGATTCGGCCACTCATCTTGCCGAAGAGGTGCCGCAGCCTGAGAAGAATATTCCCGTTGCGATCATGGCCACCGTCGGCATCGGTTTCGTTACCTCCTGGACCTACTGTATCGCGATGTTCTTCAGTCTCAACGATCTTGATGCACTTTTGAATACCGCCACAGGAGTGCCAATTTTGGAACTGTACTACCAAGCTCTGAGGAACAGGGCAGGTGCAATTGTTCTGGAAACTCTCCTAGTGGTGACTGGTATGGGTTGCCTGATTGCCTGTCACACTTGGCAGTCACGTCTTGCCTGGGCCTTCGCTCGTGATCGCGGTATGCCTGGACACCAAGTGCTCTCCAAGGTCAACATGACTTTGGATGTCCCCTTGCACGCCCACAACGCCAGCGCATTTATTGTTGCTGTTCTCGGCTTGCTCTACCTGGGATCCTCTACCGCTTTCAACAGTATGGTCACGGCATGCATCTCGCTTCTGTACATGTCGTACTCTATCCCCGTCATCTGCCTTTTGTATGTTGGTCGCGACAACATCAAGCACGGCCCATTCTGGCTGGGTAAGTGGGGTCTTGCTGCGAACTATGTCACCCTGGCATGGACTCTCTTCTGTCTCGTTATGTACTCGTTCCCTTCGACTATGCCAGTCACAACAGGAAGTAAGTATTCATGTCAAACATTCTTATACGATGAATGCAGTGACTAACAGGATTTGCAGATATGAATTATGTCTCGGCCGTTTACGGTGTCGTTGTCTTCATTGTCCTGGCTGACTGGTTTGCACGAGGAAGGAAGTCGTTCCGAGGCAGCCAGAGTTGCGTGGAAGGAGAAAGTGCCGAGTAAAGCGACGCTGGATCATCAAATACTCTTCACCTCCCTGATTCCCATGTCATGAATGCTTCAAACGAAACAAAGGCACATCCATGGGTTATGAAACCACACGAAGACACCTAGCGAGTCTGGGATCTTCATCATGACTGAAAAAGAAAAAGCATCTGTATATAGACGATACCCCGGTGATATAGAGTCGGTATAGATCAATTTCATAAAAAGTTTAAAATATAGTCGAGGCGAGGCTTTCCATTTCGTAGTTTCCATTGTGAAACGTAGCTCAATGGAATGTATTCCAAGGATGAGGAAGACAGAATCCTGTAAATCCACAACGGAGGGGAAAGTAGAATCCGAAGTACAAAAAACAGAAGGAGCAAAAACCTCTCCTTCCATGTGACCCCCGCAAACATAGCTAGACCGTTTCTGGCCACAACATCGTCTCAGAACATTCTAGGCCGCACTTTTGCCCTATACGCCTCCAAAGCCATTACGAAGCCCAAGCGCGCTATTGTTCTTGTGGCTTGAAAGAAAAGGAAATTCTCACCGACTGTTTTCTGCTACTTGTAGGTTGGTCTTGCATTTTCAGATCCGAAAAGAAACCTGCAAAGCCCCTTTTGTTTGTATTGGGATTGTTCCTGGCAGCTGCCTAGAATAGCGAAGCTGTGCTATCATATCCATGGTTCATTCGATGCTGGAGATAGTGGGGTAAACTGCCTCTCCGGCACAAACGTCTCGTGTCTTTATGCCCTTCTGCAAGCATCTCCCTGTGTGATTCTCCTTCGAGTCGGGAATGTCTGGTGCGTGACATCGTATAAGTCTTTTACGGCTTAGCAGAATTGCTCTACCAGCTGCACTCTAAAATTTAGAGAACTAGATTCATATTTTCATATTCCATTGTTGGCCTCAGTAAGCCCGCTAATGTGACTATGACTACCTAAATATCATCATGTCGCTATCCTGAGCTAAGAAACAGCGGCACCTATTTAGCTGCATACACAAAAGAGCGACTCCACCAGGACAAAAATCCCTTGACGAAGTCATAACTCCAGCGGTGTTAGTTACTGCTTGGATTAAAAATCAAATGAGAGGATAGAAGAAAAAGAACATGGAGAAGCTTCCACACAGAACAGGCAGATATCCAGTGCATTCCAGCCACATTCGTTGAAAATCCCCTCGTGCTTCCTAAGAGGTATCATTCACCCAATCAAGAACTCTTCCAATAATGAAGGGTGTAGGGAGTGATGACTCTCTTGTCCTTGACCTGCCCTTTGATCAAATCCTTCAATTCGTCAAGCAGATCACCAGCATAATTGGCGTTTTCACGAAGCTCTCTGGCGAACTTAAAATTGTCCATGAGAATGAAGGGACCGGCCGAAGCCTCAGCGATGAGAGCGCGGACTGGATGACCCTTGAACAACATCGAGGCCGACTTGATATGGCTAGAAGTCAGGTGACGAATCTTTCCGTTTTCGCCTCCAACACATGATAGGTTAACTCGAGGAATAGAGCTGGTAATGACGGCCTTGATCTTATCAGCCAGAAGTTGTTCCATGCCTGTGATAGCCCACATGTCCGCCAGTCGAGCCAGTTCGATGTACGCATTGATGCATCTTCCTTGAATCTGCGATGGGAACTCGATGCGATTCAGGTACAGCCACTGGAGCAGCATGAGGAGGCTACGCTCAGTGACAACGCCTCTGATCTTGTGCATGGTCACTGCTTGCTCGTTGCCCTCTTTGAAACAGCTATCGAACATTGCTCTGAAATAGGAGGAATGTCTGCTGAGGAGAGGACGGGATACTTTGTACTTGGCCCCTTTGTCGCCGACTTGAATAGTGACATAAGGCCCCGGGCACAAAGGGACCATGCTAGTATTGGCTCCGTTAGTCAATGAACAAGAACAAACCCAACTATATTGTGAGATTGGTGTAGCTCACAAATCATATAAACCCTCATCTGATGTGTCCGGGTTTTGCTTATTATTATCTTCGGCCATTTTGGCTGGTTATTGACTTTTCACTAAGGAACGCGTTAGCACCTGTGAGGTAACCGGCGTGATAAGAAGCACCTTTGAGAGTAAATATTCGCTCAAGCGATAGTAGTAGGACAGATGGTTGTTAATATTGAAGATTCGCACGCCGAAGAGCAGAGAGAATACGGGTTCGTTGTATCGGCTCAGTTGGTATGCAAGCACACCAACCACAACCTCACAACGCGATGTTGACTGCAACACCTGCACTCACGCGCTCTTCAGAAACAACAAAGAGGAAAGTTTTGTATAGACAGGAGGAAGCTTGTGAAATTAACACTGCATCTCGGAACGGATCATTCTTATCCGTGATGTCATTCACCGTCCCTCTCTACTGAAGTGGATGGCTTATAGCGTTGCCCGACAACCGGACCTATCAGTGCCTGCTTTCATCCTCTTCCACAGGCTTCGCGTAGCGCTAATGGACCCTCAAGATTCGGTTTCTGGTCTTGTCTATACTGATCGCTTGCCATGCAGACACTGATCCTACATCTGGTTTAGGTCTTGGTACTTGCACTGCGTACGCCAAGTATAATAGGTAAGGGAGCATTCGTAATTCGTTTCTGATTAGTATGTAAACTATAGCTAATTGAAAGTGAAGGAAATAAGATAGAAAATGTCACGAGAGCAAAGGGCTAGAAGATGGCCTTGCCTACAGTCATCCACGAACAAAACTTCCTCACTTATATACAAAGGCTGTCTTAATCACGCCGAATAGCGAGCCCAGTCGCGTGAACTAAGATGATCCTTATCTCTCGAACTAAAAAAAAGGGGAATCAAATTGAGGAAGCTCTCGTCAGGTCATAATCTTGGACGGTAACGTAGGTCAGATCGAAGAGCCTTGTCAATGACTTCAGTAGCCATCAGAACTTCCTCATCCTGAAACCTCCACCCAACAACCTGGATAGCAGTAGGTGCCCCATCTACTGCATCAGGATCATCTATAATCGCAATAAGCAGCTGACACTCATGGCTAGGTCAACGAAAAGACTTACAACCCTTGCATATCTCCGAATCCAGAGACTTATCAGCCTTCAGATATGGAATGATGCTCGCGGGAAACTAAGGTATCCTGCATCAGCACGATACATCAGAGCAGATGTATGTTTGAGTTCCCTTACATTCAACAAATTCCAAATAACCGTATATACTGGTGGCCCATAAGTATCATGTGGGCCTGCGGTTGACCAGTGACCCGGACAGATGAGGACGTCCAGATTATATTGTTTCCAGACTTCAGCCATCTTCTCCCGGTACGCCATAAGGGAAGCATTAGCGTCCCAGACATCGTCTAACGTCAGTGTAGGATTCTGTAATCCAGCTAGCGCAGCTGGAGAGGCATACTCCAACGCTTTGATTGGTTGCTCATCTCCATCCAAAACGTGCTGCAGAAGGGTCTGCTTGGTATCGAACAAAAAGTACCGTGCCGCCAGCTTTAGACCATCGTGAAAGGACGGAGCATTGGTTACAAGATGGACACTGTGACCGGCATTTTCAAGCGCAGCCTGGGCGGAGGAAAGTGCTCGTTTGACAGGGGGAAATAGTGGGAAGTGCTCGTCCCCCATATAAACCCCGATGCTTAGTTTCTTCTTGGGGGGTACATGCCGCCATGCCGAGCCAAGTGCGGTAGAGTCATAGCGCCATGGTTCCATTGAGAGAATTGTCTTACAGAAGAAAGTCAGGTCTGATGCATTGTTGGCGAGTGGTCCAACTGCGGAGACGAGCCCTGGTGTCCCCGGCCTGTCCCCTAATTCAACTCTCCCGTGAGGTATGCGATCAGCTGTGGGCTTGAAGCCATATGTGCCATTGCAGAGACTCGGTGCACGAATAGATCCTCCGACGTCTGTGCCTACTCCTAGTATGGAACCTCGGAAGGCCACCAATGCACCTTCACCACCACTGCTCCCACCCGCACTGAGGCAAAGCTTGTGAGGGTTTAAAGTTCTTCCGAAAATATTGTTGACGCTATCCATGGTCTTCAGGTAGACCGAGTGTCAGCAGAGAACCGCGAGACAAAAGAAACGGCAACTTCGTACCAATAATGTCTGTGGAATATTTGTCTTGATGTACAAGATGGCACCGTTAGCAAGGAGGATATCAACCAACGGCGAATTTTCAGCTGCGACTGGCTTCCCCAGAAAAGAAACAAAGCCAATGGTCGTAGCCTGTCCCTTGATCTTGAAGCTGTCCTGTTCCATGGTGAGATTCACGGCAATGGCGCTAGTAAGGGCATCGGCTCCAGTATTTGCCATTCTCTAGTGAGATAAAGTGCGACTGAGCCGGACGCTTACCTTCAAACTTATGGGAATGCCGTGAAAGGGTCCATAAGGCCTTCCATACTTGGCCAGATATCCATCAAGAAACTCTGCTCGCTTGAACGCCTCGGCAAAAAGGATCTCAGTCGCGCAGTTTGTCTGGTTTATTGCGTTAGCTGGACCGATCACGACCCGAGTGCAATATATATAGATACCAACTGTTGTGCAATAGCAGCTCTCTTACAAAAGGCCTTGCAAACCTGGAGCGAGGTCAATCGGCCTTCGATGATCTCCTGGTGAAGGCTTTGAGCGTCATAGGACTCTGTGATAGCCACCTCTTCCCTTGACAACAAATCATGATATCTAAGTATGTCGAAAGCACTTATGTTGGCATCTTGGGTAATTTGATTTATAATTTCCCTGGGAAGAACCCATTCAGGAGGGATTTTGGATGCACGGTCCCTTAGTTTGTCAGCGATCAGACCATCCCACTGAGCCATCTTGAGAACGCAGCCCACTTTTCGTACAATGAAACGGGGGATTAAGAAGAAATGTGTGCGGCAAGGGCTCTAATAAAGACTACAAAGATAAGAGATAAGACCGATCAATGCACGCCAGTTTGGGCCCGCTTCCAGGGGGCTTTATCTACCACGTAGCAAGCTAAATGAAAGTGTCGCATCCAGCCGACCCTATAGAACAGGCGTATTATTGTCCTGAGCCGCTAGGCAAACGGATGACGCGGATAAGGCAATTTATTAGGGAAATTAAGTACCTCAAGGAAGACAACTGGCATTCTTACTGGCATTTACTCCAAGCACACTAAACCGTCAACCGATTCGTTCCAAGCTCCGGTTCCAGTACTTTGGGATGGCTAACCGTGGCTACGACAGCCACTATGACCAGGAACATTGCCGGCGGTGTAAGCTGAATGGCCCGACAGGATTATCTAGTCAAGTTGGTGCGTCACGCCATAAGATTGATGCAGCCCGATGATTGCTCGAGCGTAGTGACATCCACCCAATAGGCTGGTCCTTGCAGCTAACCGACATGTGAGTTCCGTACACGGCGAACCTCGGCATATAGATCATTTTGTACATGATGTATCCGACCATTCATTATGACTCTAATTTCTGAAATGAACACCTTGTCAGATCAAAAGTCCAAGGTATTACAAGACACACATGGACGTCGACACACGGGACAAGCTCGCATCGAATAAAGACTGTTAAGACGTAAATAGGTTTATGATGTAGGCATGAACTACCTTCAACGCTCAGTTTATCTGATCAGCTTCAAGCCCACTCAAGCTTGTCAAGAAGCTTATTCTAGCACACCTGCATACCAGAGTATTGACTGCTATATAGAGCATCCACTGGTTTGATTTCCCATGGCCAGTTCACGCCCTCTGCAGTATAAAGAATAATCGCTATCATCAGTTACTGTCACAACCGAATAAAATATAGCAAGTGATGACATATAGATTGACAGGTTTTGAAAGGAGTTCTGACCTAGGAAAAATTCCAGAGAGCATCAGCTCTGGAGGGTCAGACAGTGCGCAAGGCGAGCGTGGGATCTCGGGCATCAGTACAGCCGCTTTGGCCGTGTGAGAGATTCAAAGATACCTAAAAGGCAGGAAGAGAAAGACCTGAGCTTACTTGAATAGCTCCACGGAATTTTGACTTGATCCAGCTCCATTATGCTGTGGAACAGGCATGCATTGATGAGTTGGACTGGATGTCGGTCACCGCAAAGGCCCCTGGGCACATTCAGAATAGAGCTGACTGAGATGATCAGGTGCTACTTGACCTGCATTAGTTTTGTAGCAATGACTTTTTGTAATGACAGCTGTGAGCGACCGGACTTATTGGACAGTTCATTGTAGCATTAAAGAAGAAGATGAAGACGAAGAGACAAAGATGAGAGCAAGAGCACTTCTGTACAAGTGGGTCCTGAGCAACCAATCTGAATGGAAAGTTTACGAGCGGGCCAATGAGAGGCAGGGTTAGCGGGTCGGCCTCAAGGCAGCGGGGCAGCCTGTCAGCAACTCATCATCCTTGTCCTATCTCATTCTTGATAACTCTTACTTTCTTTTGCCGCTAAGACTTTTCCTCGCCTAAGCCTGTGATTAACATGCATAGTGGCAAGCTTTTTCATAAGTACCAAGGCACCCCCGCGAACAGTCGAACCAGTTGCTGAGCGCTGAAATGGAATCCGAGAAGAAGCGCCGTGCGAGCAAGCCTAAAGTCAAATCCGGCTGTCGGACATGCAAGTGAGTCAAGCGGCTGCCTTGTTACACTACCTGATATAGTGCTTATTCTATACACAGAATTCGTCGAGTCAAATGCGACGAGGGTCGACCGGCGTGCAAGAGGTGCGTGTCCACCGGCCGCGTTTGCGATGGCTATGGAATTTGGAGCGAGGGAAGGAAAACCACCTATGGCGGTAGTTCTGGCGCACCGAGGGTTTTCCAGTCCCTCCTGTCTAGTTACAATGCACCGGTACCAGTTCCCCATGCCGCATGTGCTGAACAGAAATGCGTGGAATGGTTCATCGAATGTACTATTTTTAAGATCGGCGGAGTGTTTTCTTCCCAGTTCTGGGGCAGGACAGTTGTTCAAGCACTTTCTCAAGAGCCAGCAGTGCGACATGCTGTTATGGCATTGGCTTCTACGCATAAATATAGGGCTCAGAGGAGCGACAAGGATACTACAATGGCGAGCCAGCTAAGCGAGCATGAGAAGTTCACTCTTCAACACTACAACAAAGCTATTGGCTGTCTCCATGCTGAAATAAGACGCCACAGCCAACGACCGCAGAGTGTGATAGTTGCCCTCATTACTTGCATGGTATTCGTGACTCTCGAACTGATGCGAGGCCAATACCGAATGAGTCATGCTCATCTACAGCACGGGCTGAAACTGGTGAAGGAGATTCAGAAACTCTCCGGAACCTCTAAGACCGGAAAGATTATGATAAGGACTTCGTCGCAAACAAATGAGGATGATGTTATCGAGGCCTTTAGCAGACTGGGAGTGCACTATGCTCTGCTTGGACATGGGACAAAATACTCGAACCTTGACTATGACATCCAACCTCGTCATTTACCGTACAAATTTGAGTCAATTGAACAAGCAAGACAATATCTGGATGTTCTCTTAGCAAAAGCACAGTGTCTGGTGGAATTGGTTCGTCACATCGAGACGGGCATGTGTGTCGCGACTCGGGGCTACGAGCAATATCTTGAGTCTCAATGGCGCCTGGAAAAGGACTTGGAAATATGGCTTGATGTTTATAGATCGTCACTTGATGGATTTTCAGCTCAAGATTTGATCAAAGATACCTTGGCTACAAGGTTACTCGGGATGTACCATACCATGGCCTCGATCATGGTCAGGACCTGCATTCCATGGGACGACGACACGGCATTCGACCTACAAACCGACAGATTCATGTCCATTATCCGTGAGGCAATCGACATGTGCCAAGCCCTCAGAACCGCATATCCAGATTTTCCCATGAGTGGATCTCTCAATTGCCCGCTGGGAATGGCATTTACGATAGACATTGGCTTCATCCAACCATTATATTACACTGCAATCAAGTGCCGGATTCCCCAGATCCGACGACACGCGATCGGCTTGCTTCGATTGGCACCTCACCGTGAAGGCATATGGAATGGCGCCCTTACTGCCAGAATTGCAGAGGAGGTAGTTGCATATGAAGAGTCGAATATCGACACAAGCTGTACAGTTGGAAAAAGCTTGGATCTCCTCAGCCTGCCAGAAGCGGGTAGTTCAATTACAATCCTGCCTTCTCTGTGCCGCATCTCAGATGTTCATGTCGAATTGCCCGATGAGAACACAGGAGAGGCTACCGTGACATTCTGGCAGCGTGACGACGGTAGAAGCTGGAAGGTTGGCGAGAGAAAATTCCAGACGGAGGATCCATAAGCAAATCTCAACCCCTGGAGCCTGTCCCTTTTCTTTTGAAATTGACTGTCCAGAGTGATTATGACATCATGACACACCGGCATTTCAGCCAATCACAATCAACGTGATAAAATCTTACCGATCATCAACAAAGAAAATGTAATGATCGACTGACTCGTGCACAGCACCAGCGGCGCAGGGTGGAACGGTTGGAATGTGAAGCTCAGCCACTATCAGCAAAACGGAAGCTACCTACCTACTTTGTAAATGCTCAGTCAGTGATTTGCAACCGGGATGGACGGCGCTGGCATTTGCTGGTTGGGCCCTTAGTCAGTCTTACCCCATGCTTACTTACCCATCCGCGCCCCGCCCAAGCCAATCCCGGATCGCCGGCCAGGAGTATAAAGTCGATCAGCGATCTAGACAAACGACGAAATACTTTCTTCAGAATGCAAATTGCAACATCATCCTACCTCTTCTTATTCTTTGTTCCTCTAATATTGCTCCTCATCAAGTCAATTCTCTCCACCAACTCCGTTATGTCCAAACCTCTTGCCCACGCTTCCATTGTCGCCCGTCGCTCCAGTGAGCGCGGGTACGCCGAACACGGCGGCTGGCTGAAAAGCTTCCACACCTTCAGTTTTGCCAGTTACTATGACCACCGCTTCAACAACTTTGGCAGTCTGCGCGTTCTAAATGAGGACCGTGTAGCGGCTCGTAATGGATTTCCGACCCACCCTCACCGCGATGCCGAAATCTTCAGCTACATCCTCAACGGAGAGCTCACGCACCGCGACAGCATGATCAAAAAGGGTGCGGAAGGCGCCCAGGGCAAGCAGTTCTACCGCATGAAGCGTGGCGACGTTCAATTCACCACTGGTGGAACAGGTACGTTATTTGCATTGAACTCTACCACCTTCATAAACCGACCGAACTAACACAACTCCCTATAGGAATCGCACATTCCGAACAAAACGAATCCAACAAGCCCGTCCACTTTCTTCAGATCTGGGCTCTCCCCTGGAAATATGGCCTCAAGCCCCAATACCACACCCGCACATTCGACGAAGCCGCCAAGCGCAAAGCATTCGTCCCGATCCTCTCCCCGCTGGCTGCCGGGCCCGAAGCAACCCCTGCCGATGAGGAAGCCGCCGTCCCTAAGATCCCGGACACGATCCCGATTCACGCAGACTTTGTGATGGGCGCGGGAATCATTGAACCCGGGCAGAAGTTCCAGTGGACTGTTGGTGCTGGCGAAGACGTGGTTAGCCGCAAGAAGAAGAGGAACGTGTATGTGCATTTGCCCATGACGAAGAACGGCAAGGCCCAGATCCGGTTGGATCATCGGGACGAGGCGGTTCTGAGTGAGGGTGATGGAGCGTTCATCACAGGGGTGAATGCGGGTGATGTGCTGAGTGTGGAGAGTGTTGGGGATGCGGAGGCTGAGGTTATTGTTTTGGATAGTGATTAGTGGGGGTTCGATGGCTGCTTTGATTCCTTTTGCCGGGTGTAAGGTGTTTCTGGGGCTTATTGTAGTATACATATGATTCGCATCATGTACTTTTTTTTGACTTTTTCCAATAATGATGGTGTACCATGAGCAATTGCAGGTTATGTCATAGATAGACCCATAGATATAGTAATATCAACCACTTTTGATCCAAAAAAAAAAAAAAAAAAAAAAAAAAAAAAAAAACAAAGAATGAATAATCATATCAGTAAGGACACTGACAACAAAACCTTTCTCTACCCACAGCACCTCATATTACCATCGCAGTCATGCGACGCAATAGTGGCTATTGATTAGTATATAGTACAAAAACATCAGAGCGTCCCCATCCGTGGACAACCATAATCGCCTCCTAGCTAACGGCAGACCTGCCCCGCGAAATCCCATTGGCACACACAAAACTAAATGCTGATGATTCTCAACCCTCAAGCCTCAACAGTGCGGGACGCGCCCATTTCAGCATGAAGTCAGACTCCATCGCCTCACGCGCTGATACCCGCTCCAACGGCTCATAAGCCAACATCCCCTCCAGCAACCTCTTGAAGCTAGCCATCTCCATCTCCTGAAATTCGCAAATTTGAGGAGTCTCTCCTCTCCCCATCTGCCAGAGTCGCCGGTCCAAAGGTCTAAATTCAGGTGTCTGGATCCTATTAAAGTTTGGGTTCCAGGAGCCGTTTTCTTCGAGGAAAAGCTTAGGTCTCTTTTCCCCAGCGTTGCCACCATTTCTTTGGCAGCTTACCTAGTGTACTTACCATTTCCCCAATCACATCATCTGGATCATCTGCCCAGGTTTCGGAGAGGGGCCTTTCGCCGAGGATATCGTATAGCGTACAGCCAAGGGTCCATATGTCGGCGGCTGGGGTGATGGGGGGTTCCTGGAAGAATGCTTCGGGAGGAAGCAAAGCCGTTGGTGTGTGTAACTCCAGTGGCTCTTTGCCAAAGAAGAAAGATGAGGAGCCAAAGTCAGTAATTTTGACTCTGCAATTTACGACCTGGTCGCTTGGGACGATGATCAGGTTCATGGGTATGATGGCGTGCGCGGGCGCACATGATTGGATGGGGGGCGCTTGTCAATCCTTGTGATAGGGACCTCAAACGGTTTGCCAAACTGTTCATAGATATCTTCGATACTCAAGGCGTCAAAGTCAACAGGCTGGAGAAGAAGAATGTTGCGAGCATGGAGATCTTGGGGATTGGGTGAGCAGTCAGTAAAGACTCGACGGGTAGTTGCCTTGACTTACCTCCATGCCCTACACCAAGGGAATGCATATAGGCCGGTCCCATAGTAACTTGAGCGGCAATTGCTCTAGCTATATCCAGGGAGAACATGAAGCGGGGGCTATTCTCCTTGGATTCAGCAACACTGCAGCCAGCGACCTCGCTCACTAGACACATGTGATGCCCGTTTGGACCTTTGAAGGAAAATTGATCATGCAGTGAAGAAATGTATTTACGGCCCGGGTGGGTAAGATCACCACCCCTTTGAAGATGCTGTAGAATCTTTGACTCGACGCTTCTTTCCGAAACATCTGCAATCATGATCTTCAATGCGACATACCGACTTTCTTTCCGATCGTGAGCAAGCCAAACAGTCGAATAGGAACCATAACCTAGTTTGTGGACAACTCTGTATCTGCCATTCGAAAATTCATCGTTAATATACGTCGGATGGTATCCGCCCGTAGCGTAGCCCTCTAGGTTCTCTACACCGTCTTCGGGCCAGTATACGGCCTCATTGTTCCATTGCGGAGGTGGCATGGCTCTGGTTGAGTAAGCAAGATGCAAGGAATTCAAGGAAGTAAGACTGCGAAAGATCTATTCATTGCTATTCAGCATAGAAAACCTCCGCAAAGGATGACGCTCATAGAGAGTTCGACTTACGTGAGGGAGCTGTTTACATGCTAGTGATCGTGTCTGGAGGACACGGAACATAATGGGGTTGTTACTTGAAGCTGTACTATGTAGATATTCTGCGAAATGTCGAGCGTATGCTCTAGATCTATGGTTATTAGATGGTTTCTAGCAAGGGAGAAGCGTGTAAAGTGGTGCTGCGTGCCTACTTTCAGTCCACTCCGATCATATACAATGTTTGCCATAATCATAACTGCTTCCCATCAACCCCAGGGGAAATGATCTCCCAGACTCAGATCCAGACAGTTACTCCAACATGAAGTGGAGGCGGTGGTGGTTAAAGTTGACGGAGGAATCCACCGCACCCGAAAAGAGAGTGTGGCCGACGAAGAAAATCCTGCGCTGGGGCGGCTTCTTGGCACCACCAACGCAGTCTCTGTACGTAATGCGGCAGCCGTGAATCGGAGACAATGTGGGTTGGGTGTCTCCAACTCTTAATTCAAGTAGCCTATTATCCCAGGTCTAGTCTAGTCTTATTGTAGTTCCATATGAGAGGGGCGAGGATCATGGGACGTCCCTTGTTTTCTCCTGGTTCTTGAAGCTGGTCCATACGTAGTTGTTTTGCCAGGTTAAACTGCTAACCTTATCTTTGTGTGCCCAACTCTCAACACCACTTGAGCCCATTCTGTCCTGGGCTTCTACCGCAGAGTGGTGAGCTCCACGACCCCAAAAACTCTTTTTGTGGAGGCCGTTTCTTGGATAGATACTTTCTAGCCCTGTTTGTGGCTGTTTCGGCGAATCTGAGCAGCCTGAAATCTGAGGCCCCGCATTCTTGCTTCCGCAGCCAACTTCATCGCTACCTTCTTTTGTTTCTGTTACGCCTTGTCTACGCCATAGAATTAGAGATCATCGTCACAGCTCTCCATCATGGCAGCTCTCGATGTCAATGGTCCCTTGCCCGAGCTGGCTGAGCAGCAGCCGGACGATCTCATCCCCGAGTCCCGGGTCCTCATTATCATGACCGGTGGTACGATTTGTATGCGACAGTCCCCATCAGGCTTCATTCCTGCCAGAGGATTCCAGGAGCAATGTCTGGCCCGCGTGCCGACCTTCAACGATGGTTCGCACCCGAGCATGATGGATGTGGTGGTCAACTCAGCCGGAGAGATCAAAGGACATCCCACTCTCCGCACACCACCGACTGCCTATGGGCGACGGGTGCGGTACACTGTCTTCGAGTTCGAAGAGCTCCTCGATAGCAGTTCTATCGATGCGAAAGGTTGGGCTCAGATCGCTCACACCGTTGAACGAAACTACACCCTTTTCGATGGCTTCGTCGTCCTCCACGGAACAGACAGTCTCGCATACACATGCTCGGCGCTCAGCTTCATGTTGCAAAACCTTGGAAAGCCCGTCATCCTGACTGGAGCGCAAGCGCCCATGCTGGAGTTGCAGAATGATGCCACCGATAATCTTCTCGGATCACTGGTTGTGGCTGGCCATTTCATGATCCCCGAAGTGTGTCTGTATTTCAACAACCGACTGTTCCGTGGCAACCGGTCGATCAAGGTCGCAGCCAGTGATTTCGCTGCCTTTGACTCGCCGAACTGCCCCCCGCTGGCGGTGACAACCTCCATGCGGACCAACGTGAACTGGGAGCTGGTCAACCGACCGAAGAGCCTGGAACATTTCCGTATCCAAACCAACCTCGACACCACCCATGTGGCGTGTCTTCGTATCTTCCCTGGTATCAAGCCGGAGATGGTCGACGCCGTGCTGAAGCTGGAAGGGCTCCGTGGTTTAGTGTTGGAAACGTTTGGCGCCGGTAACGCACCCAGCGGTCAAGACAATGCCATGACCAACGTATTGGCCGCCGCTATCAAGCGAGGAATCGTAATCGTGAACGTCACGCAGTGTAAGTTAAACCGTTGCCAATAATTCCTTCCCTCAAACCAGAGTTTCAATCTGACACAGTCAACCAGGCCTGACAGGAAGCGTCAGCCCTGTCTATGCCCCAGGCATGAGTCTCTCTCGCGCGGGAGTCGTCGCCGGACTCGATCTGACCACCGAAGCCGCACTAACCAAGATGTCATATCTCCTCGCTCTTCCGGATTCCACCCCAGAATGGGTCGCGAAGAAAATGTCCGTATCTCTTCGCGGCGAATTGACCGAGGTCTCGCAGCCCGTATTCCGCCATCCGGACGGGGCGCTCCCTGAGCGTGTTCAGTCCCTCACGGTGCTCGGATACGCCATTGCGCAGGGTGATCTCGAGCGCGTGGAGGAGATTGTGGCCCGAGAACACCAATGGTTATTGAATGATGCCGACTACTCGGGCAACACACCTATCGTAAGGCAACCCCTATGCCCCAGTTGCAAACATAAAAAAAGAAAGAACAAAAACTGACACCCACGTCACCTCCACAGCACCTCGCAGCAACTTCACCCTCAGTTGAGATTCTCCGATACTTGCTTCTCCAGGGTGGCTCCGTGCACTTGCGCAACCGCAATGGTCGGACGCCGCTGTTCCTGGCGGCCAACGCAGGATTCTCGGAGCACGTGCTGCTGCTACGCAAGTCTGGAGCGCATCTGCACTCTGACGAACGCACGGCGGCGCAGTTGTTGGCCCGGCGCCGACCTGGCGTCTGGGGGTTGGCGGGGATTGGGCCGCGTGAGGTGAGTGAGCGCGAGATGGAGGAACTGGAGGACTCGAGTGATTCTATAGGACGTATGGCGCAGCGAGTGATGGCGGGATCGGCGCCTTGAAGATGGCGATCGTTTTTTATTACCCTACTCTCTTTAGAGACAGGGAAGGGAGCTGTGATGGTTTAGAGCCGTTTTGGTGGATTCTTCTTTAGACGGAAAAGCGTTTTGTTATTATTCTTAAGCTTTCATTCACACGCTGCCTGGTACACCTCACAGTATACTTTGATGATAGAATGAGGGGAATGTCACGCTATGATGACCACCAATATAACTGCCATGAGGACAACACAACTACTATTGAATTACTATTTACTATGTAGACAGCGAGAAAAGGGCAGTCTTTCCCGCGGAGATACCTGACCAACATGCAGGATCCCTGGGCATGCAGGTCGGGGTCATGCATGTCGGATGGATGGAGGGGAAAAGGACGATGGACGATGGCCAACCCCGCTTTGAATTGCGCCATTGCTGAGATGTTCTACTTTTTTATCTTTTTTTTTTTTTTTTTTCCCAGTTGAGATGCGTTATTACTTAGTAGTACTAGTATACTAGTAGTAGTCTAGCTTAGTGAGCAGGTACCTAAATAAGTGGCTCCAAGGACCTTCCTCATCGGGATAAAATATCTACATTTATTGGCTGTTAACAACAGCAGTAGTATACTTCGTACAGTAGTGCTACTCCGCTAACAAAAAAAGTATGACGGAGCAGCTGACCGGGTTGCACATGATCACTTCAAAGGCGGTGGTGGCTTGGTGACGATGATGAGCTCCTAACTAATGTTAGGTTCCTATAATATACTATCCCACTAAACTTGATGTTTCTTAGATTCTACTAGATTGACCTGGACAAAGTCTGTGCTCTCACCCACGCGGTTGTTGCTCTCTCCTAATTAGTAGTAGTTCCAGGGAAAGATAAGGTGTTGATCAGATGAAGGTTGCTCCCTTGCAGACATGGCCCGGATGTGTTGTCGCACGGTTGTTGTACCGTCTGCTTGTTTGGTATGAAAGCTTTGCCTTCCCCTTGCTGACCTTGTGGGAGGATAAACCTGAGTCAGGAATAGAAAAAAGAAGGAGTCCAAGAGGTACTTCCTCTCATACTACTGAGGACTAAAACTTCATCCACAGGCCCGTAGAGAACCACTTTCGTCGCAAAAAGAGCCCCAGAAGGAACACCGCTCTCGGGTCTTGGCAGACGCGTGAGAAGCTGCGGCGCACGGATTGGTCGGTAAGAAGGATTTGGACCGATGGGTCTGGAGAGCAACGTGGGCTGCTCGGGCTTTGTCAGTCGGCTGTGACGGCGGCTTCTTCGCTAGTTAATGTGGATTATCACTTGCTATCCTTCATAACATAAGAAATAGTTCAATGAGGGCGGAAGAAAAAGAAAGAGGAAAAAGGAGAATAGAAACGGAGATATAGATACATTAAAGATATTCAAGAACCGATACTGTAGGTGAGTGGAAAGAAAGATAGAAGTATAACGTCTTGACTACTGTAGTAGAAGACTGCCTCAGAATCGGTGGCTGTCCCCCGAAGTCGATCAGTGGGAGGCCGCTATTTCCCCGCCCACACTCTGCTTAGCTGTCATTGGCTGGGACTTGCCGGGATCGGACATTCTTTGATAGAATGCACTTTGCTTTTTCTTGCTACCCAAATTCAGCAATAATGAAGAATCTCTCTCTACTACTAGTTTAGCTGGAACCGTTAATGTTGGAAGGTGCATCGCATACCTATACTACCTTCCGATATAGAGGATGTCCCATGTGCTGAAATTGCGCCCTACAATAGACACTATTCTCAGATGGAATCATATTACGACATCCTCGTGATGCCATACTACTAGTTCTTCTATGTATCATGATGATGATGGTGGATTTTGCTGGTTCGTTCAGCTCCCCTTCCAGCCACCCCTGAACTGCATCCGAGTTACGTAAAGGAAAGAAGGTCAATGGTCACTTCAACATCGAGGACATCGTGGGCACTTCTAGCAACATCCAACAAGGTCCCGTCTTCCTGTCAGGGCTGCTGCTCTAGTTGCCTCATCTGCCGAGCTGGCCTGTCATCCCCGGCTTTGGAACGAATGGTGCAAGACCAACCACGCAATGGAAAGATGGCAGAGAAACTCAGTGAAGCGCACCCTCAGGAACAGAGGACCGAGTACCTTGGAATCGCGCCAGCCATCCAGAGTTTGCAATTCCGCCTGACACC